GTTCGTTAAATAATCTTGATTGTAACTCTTTTTTCTAAATGTTAACAAAGGTGAATAAAAAATTTCATTATTAATTAATTGGAAATTACTAACCATCAATTATTACTAACGATATTAATTAATACATTAGATTCTAGTAACAATAGTAAAATAAAGAAGCGACGAATGACTAACTCAATCTCCACTATAAATTTATTATCTTCTTTTTATTTCATCTGTATTTTATTTCTTATCTTGTAACAATATTTTGAAATAATAAACTTTTTATAATTTTTGATTCATGTTAAATGGCGATATTGTCATTTCGGAGCACACATAATGGTACCAGATAACTGTAAATAAGTAAAGATGGTTCTTTTTCAATGCTATAAGGTTCCTTTTATTCACTTATGATCGATTTGTTTCAGTTGTTTGCCCTTGTTTACATTTATTGACCTATTGCAAACTTACAACTTAAGTAGCTTGTTTAACAGCCTTACGTTTACTACTACAATAATATTACTTCATCAACACCCACTAGTTAACCAACGTTAGTCCAAGCCTTTGCTTTCTCACTAAAGCAAATAAACATGACTTTTCACCAAAGCTTCACGATTGTTACCTTTTACTAAGGCACTAACTATATCTACTTCTTTATCAAAATGCTTTAAACAAAGAAAATAAAGACAATGTTTTTGATTTTAAAAGTTTATTAACGATTAATTTTATTTAATAAAAATGACGATTCTATCACAAAGCTTTATTCTATTATAATGTATTATTTTCCTCTGAGAGGACCTGAAGTTATCTTTAATGAAATTTTCATTGATAAAGATAAAGATGGGATTATTATTGCAAAGTAACTTAAACAATATTGATATTATAAAAAGCTTTTGCGTAAAATTTTCCCCTGATCACGTATCGCATTATTAAAGAAATGTTCAAGTTTAGTAGCTCCCCGGGAACAACTTATGAAACAAAGGAGAGATTGGAATACGCAAGGAAATAAAAAAAAAGACCTTGGAATACATATTTATGTTTTTTTATATATATATAACCTTTAAAGCAGTTTTATTTACGTCATTTTTTGACGTGATAGTTTTACACAACTTTGGTCAAACAACATTAATCCCATCACTTTTAAAAGCCCATGTTTCGAAAATTAAAAAAAAACCTAAACAAATGTATATGAAGAAGACCGTAATTTTTGTTGCATAATTCTATTGGTTTCAGACAGGGACAATGATTTTCGGCAGTGAATTCTGTTTATTATTGCAAAACAAACGACCATCGAGTTTTCGGCACTTGACCAATTCTACCCAAACCTGACATTTCTGCGGCTTTCTGCTTAACACCGAAAACCATTGTCTCTGGGTTTAGGAAGATAATAATAGAGTGATGTTTATATCATTATACATTATTATTATAGTTTGGATGTCTTATATCGAATCTATTGTCGTAGGATGGTGGCGTAAATATAAACTGAGTTGTCAATATTATGGCAGTAAAACGAGATCTAACTGAACTGTATTTAAATTGTAGTACAGCTAGCTACAAACTCTTGGTGTTACGTTTTGTAAAGTATGATTGGCCAAGATTAATATCATATCTCATCAAAATCGATTCAATTATATATAATATAATTTTTTAAAAAATGTCAGTTACTACTACTACCACCATTACGACAACTTTTTCATCAGAAATATTGGCATGGACGTTAATCATAATAACACTTTATTTTGCACAATTTTACTTTAAATATTTTAACAGATCATATCCACTACCAGGTCCTTTACCTTTACCGATCGTAGGCAATAGACTTCAATATCGTGGTAATCCTGCCACTTGGTCAAAAGATTTATACTCAAAGTATGGAGATATTTGTGAGCTTTATATGGGAAACGAAAGACAAATTTGGATATCAAGGGGTGATTTGGCTGCCAAAATCTTTAGTCCCTTAGCGAGCAACAATTTTCTCATACGCATAACACCAAACCAAGGATTGGACGAGATTGATATGACAACTAAAGGCTTGACATTTAATCTTAATGTGAACAATTGGTATTTTAATCGACAATTCTTCAATAAGGCCATCACATCACCAAAATTCATTAAACAAGCAATTGTTTGGACACAAAGTTTATTCGTTGAAATGGAAAATTATTGGGTGGAATTGAAAGAAGAACAGAGACAAGGAGGAGGAGGAGGAGGAGGAGAAGTTAATGCAGATGTTGACGTTATGGTAGTAAATATATCAGAATGGATAGTTAGATTCATAATGGAAGTTGTGGTAATGATGACTACCAATAAACGAGTACATTCAATGGCAAACTATTATCACAATAAACTTGCCACCAACAAAATGCCTAAACAATCTGATATAGTGCTTCAAGAGTCTGAAGAATTGATAAAAAATATTCATAGCTGGCTAGTTGGATTACAGTTTTTCATGGATACATCTGAATTTTCACGCAAGTTTATACCAAGCGCTAAACAAAAAGCCGAAGAATTGAGAGCAGAGATTGATAAATTGAATAACACCTTTTTGAATTATGTCAAAGAGCGTAGATCAGAGATTGATAATACTAGTCCGGAGGAATTGTTAACACCTGATATTTTAACAATGTTGTTGACAGTTAATACATCTCGTGATATTACTTCAAATATCAGAGATGATCAACATACAAGACCATTAACTGATGATGAAATTCGTGGTAATTTATTGGAAGTAATCGGAGCTGGTATTGATACTGTGAGTCAAAAAACTAGTTTTTTGAAATATAATTTATTTATATTACCTTAAATTGATAAATGAAATTAACACTAACACTTTTAATATTAATATTAATATTAATATGAATTAATCACCCATTCACCCATAAACCAACAACAACAATCAATCAATCAATCAATCAATTCATTTATTCATTATATTTTTAATAGACAGCAAATACTTTTGCATTCATAGTGTATCATGTAGCACATTATCCTGAAGTGAAGAAACAAATGTTAGAAGAATTAAATCAAGTGTTCAACGGTGATCCAGACAGACCAATCACGTACGAAGATATAAATAAGTTAACTTATTGTGATGCTATTATTAAAGAAGGTAATTGATTATGTATATTTATAATTCATATATAAATATAATTAACATATTCATATTTCTATTATATATGCAAATGTTTTAGTGTCTCGTCTAATGTCAATCGTACCAATTATTTTTCGAACATCTATTCAAGATGACACAATAGCAGGTAAAACAATTCCAGCGTCAACACAATTCATGATAAACACGCCAATGATACACAGACACCCACTGCAATGGCGTGATGCTGAAAAATTTGATCCATCACGATTTCTAAATAAAACCACACCAAAACATTCTTTTTTGATGTTTGGTAATGGACTTCGAATGTGTCCAGGCAAACAATTGGCCATGTCACAAATCAAAACTTTAATTTGTCTATTATATAGGAAATATGATGTTGAATTGGAGGATATGAGTGCTCCATTGAAATTTCATTATAGTATTGTCAAACATTGTGATGATTTGAAAATTAGGATTAAACCTAGAATATTTGGAAAGAAGAATAATGACTGTTGAGTGCCTGTCAGAACATAAACAGTTACATAAGAAAGAAATTATTATATAGTGATGCAATGTTTTTTTGTCTTTTTTTTGTCTTATTTATATGATTATCATTATTTTTTTTATTTGAATAACATGTTTCCTATTCTTATTCCTATTCCTAAGCTCAAGCTACTTGCTCAAAAATTTCACTTTTGAAAAAAAAGTTTTTTGTAAATTATTTTTAATTTGTTTAATTTTGTATTATCATTATTTTAATAATAGCGTTTTATTAATGCAACATTCTGATTGCATTACTCAATCCATGTAAAAATTGCAAGTCTAGTTATTTCAATTTATTATTCATCTGATATTTCTTCTTCACTACCGTTTTTTACTGTTTTCTTTTTTTTCCTTCTCTTTCTCTTCTTTTTAGTATCGCGATTATCTATATCTGTTAAAGAAATAGTTTAAAATGAATTAGTAAATATGCTAATATATATATGCACACACACATATGTAATATATATAAAAATTAATAATACTTTTATTGTTATCATCTTCAATTCCATCGTCTGAATGTTTACGTTTATTATTATTGTTGTTGTTATTATTATTCAATTCCTTTGATTCAAAAAGTTAATTAAAAATTAATTTTTTAATGAATTAATTTGTCTAAAAGAATAAGTATTATTTTAATTACTTGTTGTATATCATTATTAAATTCAGCCATCTTTATTTCATTACCACCACCTCCACCAACATTTACTAGTTTATTATTTTTATTTTTATTGTTCTTTTTTTCATCAGATTTTAGAATTGATTGTTGTTGTGAGGTTATAGACTTTTTCTTTTTCTTTTTACAACTTAAAGGATTTGGTTGTTTGGGACCTTTACGCTTATTTTTCTTTTTTTCTTCTGATCCGTCCATTGTTGATTTTTTCAACAATAATATATCGGAATTGGCATTTGTCAAAAATGAAATTTCTTCGTTTGATGGTTTTGTTTTTTCCATTTCAATCTATACTTGATGTTAAATTTATATTTTAATGTCATCATCATTATTGTTATTATTATTCAAATAATATAACATACTAATATATAATTACTTGTTTAGATTTTTCCAATGTTATACGTGAGGCTGGTTCAATTATTAAAACTGATCTCTTAATATATAATAATGGAACACCTGGAACATTACGAAACAACTCGCGAAGTGAATCATTTTGAGTCGCGACACAATAATTATGAGGATTATCTTTTTCTAAAAAGATATATAATATCACAAACATTTGTCATTGCTTGAAAAGTGATCAAAAATGAAACATTTTGCGTAGAATTTGATTGATACATCTACCTACCTATAATTGAAGCTAAACATTCTGCGCTAGACACAGGTTTACGTTGATGAAAACAATTACGTCTTTCAAGTTGTATTAATGCATCCTCTGTACCAAACTCATCTTTTCCTCCTTGTTTTCTTAATTCATTTAAAGTACAAGACGTGTACACTTTTTTATTTTATTTGCATAGATAAATTGGTTAATATTTTAACATTGATGAAAAAGGGATAGAGGAAATGGATTAAAAATCAAAACCTCGGCTATTTACCTACTTTGTTTAGTATTTCCCATCATAACATTATTTAACTGTTTACATATATCCATTTTATAACGTAAAGCTATATTTATAAAATCATAATCAACTTTTAAAAAAAATAAAAAATCAATTAATGATAATTTTCATATATAAATTTTTCATCATTGCCTTCTTTGCTATCAACGCTTAATACTTACTTACCTAGTACTTGATAAGGTTCTCTAAATCCATAAGAAATATTATATAATGTCATAAGACGTTTATACTGTTTTGCTCTTTTTGGTCGCATTTTTTATTTTGAAAAAAAAATCGGTGCGACATCGTGAAAATCGGCGGCATTTTCACATCCTGGTCACAAATCAGGTTTTTTTAGTTTGTTTTTTTTTAGATTTTTTGAAAAAATGAATTCAAGGTTTTTACCACATGTTTTTATTTTATTTTATTTCTTTAATAATGTTACAATCAACATCATCAAGTCAAAAATTTTCTTTTTTTATCAAGTGATGGAATAAGACTGTCAGTGAAAATCAGAGATGAATATAGTCATGTTAAAGAATTACCTGCTGCTTTGATATCTCAACAAAGTGCACCTGGTTAGTAAGTAATAAACCTGTAGTCATTTATTTGATAATTATTAAACATGTTTTTTATATTTATGAACATATGATTTAAATTATAGACAATGTTTCATCAGCTATTAATATTACACAGCCTACAACCACTACAACCGCTACAACTGCTACAACCACTACGACGGCTATAACTACTATAGCCGCTACAAAGACCACAACTCCTATAGCAGCTTCAGGCTCTTTGATAAGACGTAAAATACCAAAAGTTCAAAAACCTGAATGGCATGCACCCTGGAAATTAATGAGAGTTATCAGTGGGCATTTAGGTTGGGTGAGATCAATTGCATTGGAACCTGGTAACAAATGGTTTGTAACCGGTGCAGGTGATCGTACCATTAAGGTGAAACTATATATATATATATATATATATTTATTTATTTTTTTAATCAAATTTTTTAAATTTCGGGGAGTTTTTTTTTTAAAAAAAGAATTTTTAATTTTTTAATAGATTTGGGATCTTGCATCAGGTACTTTAAAACTTACCTTGACAGGCCATATCTCCACGGTTCGCGGTCTGGCAGTATCACCGCGTCATCCTTATTTATTTTCATGCGGTGAAGATAAAATGGTAAAGTGTTGGGATCTTGAACAAAATAAAGTTATCCGACATTATCATGGTCATTTATCTGGAGTTTACTCTTTAAGTTTACACCCTACTTTAGACGTACTGGTGACAGCTGGACGAGATGCTTCTGCTAGAGTAATTATATATTTTTTTTTTTTTTTTATTGTAATTATCCTTTCCTTATCTTAAATCCTATAAAAAAAAATTTTTTCTGAAGGTATGGGATATGCGTACAAAACAATGTATTCATGTTCTTACTGGACATAGCACAACTGTGGCAGATGTTAAATGTCAAGAAGCTGATCCACAAGTAATCACTGGTTCTATGGATTCAACAATTCGTTTATGGGATTTGGCTGCTGGTAAAACTTTAGCAACATTAACACATCATAAAAAATCAGTTAGAGCTATTACCACACATCCTAGAGAATTTTCTTTTGCTAGTGCCAGTGCTGATAATATTAAACAATGGAAATGTCCTGATGGTTTATTTGTTAGAAATTTTGAAGGGCATAATGCAATAATTAACACATTAGCTGTTAATGAAGATAATGTTTTATTTTCTGGAGGTAAAAAAGAAAAAAAAAATTTTTTTTTTTAAATAATATATTACATACATATGTTGATTATATACAAAACACGTTTTTTATTTTTATTTAGCCGATAATGGTTCAATGTCATTTTGGGATTGGAATTCAGGACATAAGTTTCAATCATTGGAAACAACCGTTCAACCTGGTTCTTTAGAATCCGAAGCTGGAATATTTGCTTCTGCTTTTGATCGAACAGGATTAAGGTTGATTACTTGTGAAGCAGATAAAACCATTAAAATCTGGAAAGAGGATCCAGAGGCTGTACAAAATTCTGATGACATTTAAAATAAAAAAAAAAGTGTTAAGATTGTGTGAACGTTGATCAATTTTTAAAGATAGAATTTTCAAAAATAATCGTCTTAATAATTTTAATAACTAGTTGGCCACTCATTTTTGGCGATGCATTCTTCTATTCTTCTGGATACACTATCAATTAATCTTAAATATTTTTCGCGTGGAATTTGTTGCCATTCTTCTCTCAAAATTTTTCCTAGTTCATCTTTATTTTTGGACGTGTGGGACGTTTTTTAATCCTCTACTATGTTCATCCCATAGGTGTGCAATTGGATTAAGGTCTGGAAATTGAGAAGGCCAATTTTCCATAATTTTTTTCTTACCTTTTTTCCGGATAACCATTTTATCACATTTTTAATCGAGGTGCGTTATCATCTTGAAATTTGTATAAAATTTTCTTTAATGAATAGCAACAAAGTCACTCTCTAAAATATTTATATATTATTTATGATTGGTTCACTTTCTCTTCTACTCTCGCCAATTTTCCTAATGCATTAGCTGTAAAATTATGATTCCTCCCCTGCCATGCTTTATCGTAGGTGACAAATTTTCAATACTAAAACGAGTCTCATTTTTGCGCTAAATTCATCCATCACTACCAAATCGTGAATTTTGATAACGTGAAAATAAACGTTAATATAAAAACATTGATTCATTTTGTCAACAATCACTTCACCAACAGTTGTTTCGTTAACAAATGGTTCGAATTTAAGAAGTT